TATAACGTTACGAGATTTAAGTTATTGTTGAAAGGAAGATGTACAATACATCAATACGGATCCGAAAAATTATAACAATTTTCAGGGTTCAGAAACTCAGTTTACACAACGTTTATAGTTTAGGTTACGAGGGCAGCTGCTTCATAAGCAGCTCACTTGGGTTCATTTAAGTTGGTCCCGTTGTGTTACCTTTGTGGTCGCAGGAGTGTATTTTGATGTCACTCTCTGCTTCCAGAACTACTCCAACCGTTTCATTTATAAAGCATACGATATTCTCCAGACCTATGCCAGAAGGCCCCTCCTGCCTGACAAAAAGAGAGGTCCAAAATGATGTTTCCTGATATTAGTTTACGAAGGGCAATAGCAAAGTAGATGCGATATCGTCTCATCTTATTCCTCATTATGAAAACTTCTGCAGTAGTCATTATATCCAAGGCCTAATTTCCTGGCATTAAATTACTGACACAAGCATTCTTATCTGCTCTCTTCGAAAGCCTCTAAGCATTCATTATCTGAGAGCATCATATAGAGGCCAGATAGACCTTGAGATCTGACAAGTGGTTTCACTGAACCACCTGATTTCGGCTTTCCCATATAGTTCATTAAGAACAAGTTTCTTACAGTTCGTAAGAGAGATAACAGTAAAGGCTTCGACATGTTCCTCATCTAAAATCGTACCTTTTACTGCTAATTCATTAGCTATACAGTTACACTGACATTTATCATGACCATATTAGCGTTATCCTAGAATGTCTCGTTATCTCATTTAGAGATACCCGGCATTCTTTGTTTAACCAAGATGTCGTGAAGACACCCGCTAGATTTTTACTTATATCCCCTGATATGTGATAATACCTTAGCCAATTCGCTGCTCGTTTGATAGCAGATATTTCAGCCTAAAGAACACTACCGTAGTTAGGCTGTCTAAAGGATGATTTAATACCAAATCCTTCAATAAAGAAACCACCACCCACTTTTCCACTCCTCTTGATGATATCAGTGTAAACTCTCATTACACCTGGAAATCCTTTTGCGAAAGCGATTATCGAAGTTAGGTTTCGTAATGCAATAGTCAACATTTAAATGCAGCGATTTATAAGTCAAAAGTGCCCGTAATTTCTGTAACCAAACCACGAGCCACAGGCATATAGTCTGATCACAGAGTTAACGGCAAGTTGAACGGCGATTAAGTCAGCTGGTAACCAGTTCAACATGGTTAGCTGTGCTTTGGTAGGCGTTATGTTCATTGCTACTGTGATGAGGATGGTAATGTTTCTTATAGTGCGATCAATGGTTGCACAGTGTGAAGTATGTTCCATTGCTTGCCACCATACTATAACTCCATTGAATAGTATGGGTTTGACGATTGTTTTGAAAATCCAGTAAATACAATTCGGGTTTATTCTCCAGGTTGTACCAACTGCCTTCATACAGGTATATATAGCTACATTGGCCTTGTTAACCCGGTTCGGAATATTTAGAACCCAGGATAGTTTATTATCTAAGATTACGCCAATATAGTTTGCGTGATCCGAAGTTTTCAATCTAATATCATCCATGGAAGAATAATTTTAATTATCGCACTGCTTTTGTTGGTGTCATTCTATAAGATTTTAATGGTCCTACCCACAGCTCTGTTATTCCAAATGACTGTATGATTCTGTATTTCGCCCCCGTTGCGTCAAACAGTTTAACGATCGTCGAGTTAATTTCATCAAGTTTTATTCCCTTTATAGCAAGAACATTTGTTCTTTCATTGGCGATTATCCGCGAGTAGACTAGCAGCCATATGATGCAGCGCTATCATACCATCTAGCAGCCTTAACCCTACCCTTTCACGCAAAAAACTAAACCGCTGGATATGTTATGAATATGAGTTCACTACATGCTTTAATATGAGTTAAACATGCTTTTAATTTGATCATTTATTATGAAAAATGGAAATAAATCGCACTATATAGTCTTGATTGTACCCCTTGACTAAGCCAGTTGTAAAGATTGTATCGGTTCTCTGCGGTACCCGTTATACCAAGTGGGAAATGAGAGTACATAAGAAGTTTAATGATCTCTTCCATGTCCACCAATCCCTTGTGCATGTCATCGGGAATAAAATTTTTTCCAGGTTTCTCGTTTGGCTTTTTGAGCGATTTTCTTATCTTCATTCTATGCGATTTGTATGTTGTAACCGGTTGAGTTTGCGAAGGGTTTTCATAAGATTCGGAACTCCCATGTTATATCATAACAGATCTGCGCTATTTAGGGGGCTGCAGTCCTCGAACGATTTCAACAAGGTATATTGGCTTCTATATTCTCTATATCTCGTATCTTGTCGTGATGGGTTGATGAGTTTGTGAAGGGTTTTCATAAGATTGGGTTGGTTGGTTGGTTGCCCAGTCTCTTACTAGAGCAGATCTCTGCTATTTGGGAGGACGCACTCTTCGAACGATTTCAACAAGGTATTGGCGCCTATATTCTCTATATTTCGATAGTGATAGGCGGTCATTAGATTTAATTCCTGGATTCTGCTTGTATACATATCGATGACTTTGATTGATTGTTAATATCCTAATTCGGAAGATCGTATTAAATCTTGGTGTATCATATAGCCCATCTTCTATATATTTTGTTCATATCGCTTGCATCCCACTTTTTAAGTCTAAGAGCATATTTAGAAAAAAGGACAGCCTCGTCCGACATTATTACCAGAAGTTGATAATAATTTTGTGCATTTACTTAGTTTAGGATTTTCTTTGATTTTGGATATGTTATTCCTAACTTCCTAAATATTTTCGTTTTTAACAAAAATAACATTCATGTAAAGCGTTCCCTATTTGTATTAAATAAAATATACAGAAATTACTAACTATACATAAATATTAGTATTAATTCTAAGTTTCAAATATAATTGAAATCAGGTCCTTTAGAAAATCAAATATTCGTTTTATTAGAGCAAGATATGCTACAGTTTTTAAAAATATACAATTCGACATAGTGTAATACTATGTAAACGAGCAAGTCATTTTGTAGTTTTTTTTATTTTTAACAAATTTTAATTTCAATTTAATTATGTAAATTTTTATGCTGCTTTTTTATAGGAATTTTATTTTGCATTTAAGTTAAATCTCTGGAAAAATAAATGAAAAAAAGAAGAATTTCGAGGGTCCTAGAGCAACAGAAAAGAGGAGAAGCAGAAATTTTAACAACGAAATTAAAATAAAATAAGAATAAATTTGTACATTTCGGCATATAAACGATGCTATAATGAGCATTAAAGTGGCATTTAATGCATTAAATAATAGTGTCTTAAACTCATATATTATTCGTTAAGAACATTACAAATACATACATACATACTTACATATTTATAACGAACGGTATAAATTCTTAAAACTCTTACATTCATACAATAGTGAAAAAGGACTACAGGAAACACATCACGCTTACAACTTTATATACAATACTTAGACATACATGCGTATGAACGAAAACATGTAGAATAAATGAAGGATATGAATGAACAAAATTCAATGAAATTTTCAAAAGAAACATACCAACATGTAATATACCATTAAATTACACTATCAACATTCATTAATTTCTTCTTTCTCTCACTTCTTCATTTCTTAATTCATTTCAGTCAGAAAAAAGGGAAGTAAGAACAATTTATTTGATACTTAAATTTGAAGCTTATTGTAATTTTGTTTAATCCATGGATAGCGAAAAGATTGGATGTTATGAAGATCATTTCATTTTCATCGAATGTTGAAATTCTAGGAGAAAAGCATTTTTGATTTCAAATATTTGCATTGATCAGTCAGTTAATTTATCATTGAATAAATATCTGTCTTTACCAGAAACATATTTTGATGTTCTGACGACTTAATAGAATGTCCGAGGCTTGACAAACCGTAAAACCATAAAAACCTTTTGACTCGGATCGCATTTATCGAGATAATTGGAAAGATCGATTGATTTCTATATCAAAAATTTCCAGACTGCTTGTACCTTTCGCGAGACACAACAAATGGCGATGGGCAAAGCCAACGACAATCTTGACGGTACTATTGAGGAACTACGTAACTGGAAAAAATATGCACTGACATTCGTTACATTTAGATAAATACCTGCGCACTCGACACCTATGTATACCAAGAGCATTTCTACCGATATTAGGGTGCCCCACAGATCCAGTGTGAATAATAATGTGCTCCCCTTCAAAAGGCACCATTTTTCCAACTATATCATAGAATGAGCCTTAGTGAACTATTAATGGGGTCCAGAAAAACAATCTAGAGCCAAGGGCAAAAACCGAAGTGGTAATTTATACCAGAAGATATAAAATCTGAGATTTTAGAACTTCTTTATGGTTGTGGTTTATGTTAAAACATAATGCTGAGAATCGGATAAGTAAGGCTATCTGAGCTTTTTCATTAGACTTCAAGTCTATTTCACGGTGATCTTTTTCAATCCCTGGGTGAGGTTCTGTGATGACACACCACCACTCCATTGTTCATGGCTGTGCCGATCCATATACAAGCACTTTGCTGAAGTACTTGAACTATCTAATCTCTGACCATTGAACTATCTGATCTCTGATCATTGCTGCCCCGTTTCTTAACTTTTGACATGCAAAATAATCACTCCCATTACAACCTCGCATATACGATGGCCTCTGTTGAGTCAGCAATAGCACCTAGAGTCGTAGCCGATAGACCGAAGTAGGAATCCATCAAATAAGCCGAAGATTTTATTTTTACTCACAGAGAACACATCGTGGTAAATCTAGTATGAACAGAGTTTTCCCTGAATATACCTGGACAAGAAAGGAAAATTCAATGGTATCACTTGTATAAGATACTTTTCATCCATCATCATTCAAGCCTGCACACTCATAAGAGAACAACATACGACAGACTCACTCTAGGTATACGGGTGGATGAGATCCGTAACTTAAACATTCCAACGCTTAGTATCACAGTCACTCCTCTATGGGGTATCTGTTGTCATTCGGCAACAACGCCGAACTTATTCCGAATTATAGATTTCACCGTTCATCAGTCCTTTAACCGCCACTTTCTCTTCCCGCGAATTTGGGTTTAAACCTCAGTCACTACGTGGATTCCGAAGAATCCTCAACCATCTGACCAGCCACCAGTAGTACCAGATTATGTAGTTCTCTGGTTCAAGCCCATGTTAAATCATTCCGAGGAGTACATTGACATCACCAGTTCATAGTCCCCGCAGACTAGAGGTACTGGTAGCACCTCTTTACTCCGGGTTTGCAATACACTAAGATCGGGTCTTCATCAAGGAAAAATGTTCCTGGGGGTCATGGTGTGACTGTCTTAATGATAATGAATGAGCTGAATCCGAATGAATATACCGAAAACCATGGGTTTTCGAGCATTAGGAGAAGATATCTGGAAAAAGAAAGAAAATATGCAAGGAATACAACATTTGATAAATAAAGTTTTTTTTGTAGATTTTATGTTGTTTAAAGAAGAACAGAACACGACAGATTTCTGGGATACTCTTATAAGTAATACAACTAAACTAGATTAGAGAGGTGACTTTCATAATTTTTGGAAAAGTATTAACTTTAATGTTGGTTCTATGGACATCATATTTAGTTGAGATAAACTTGGAGTAAAGGATATACAGTGTTCTTAATTTATAGGGTCATTGGAAATAACTTTGGACTTAATTCTACAATTTAAAATTGATTATGTGACAATTGCCATATCAATTATCATCATCAATGAAAATTCTAATAAAAATTCTTCTAATGTGTACTTCCCTTAAGAGTTTTTTTGCAGCAGGCATTGTACTTTCATGAAAAACTTATACTTTAATATATGAGGAAGCTTAAGCCTTGTATCTATTAAGATTTGTTTTTTTTTTTTTCGTTGTACAATATTTTTTACAGTTTTTCATTTGAAATTGGATGGTATTACAAACTACTCGAATGTCGATTTAAATTGATGGTTTCGTTGCTTGTTTTTTTTTTTATACTTCTAGCAGTTGTATACACTTAGTGTCAAAAAAAAAAAAAAAACGATGCGGGTACAAAATATTGGCGTTATACTGCAATCCAACAACCATTTATTAATTTACGTTGTAGGATGGGGACTGGCCCAAAACTAATCTAAATATAAGAACAAACGTGTCCATTTAACGGTCAGAAACACGTAATCCACACATCCAATTAAACAACTCTCTTGCTACATTTATAGAAATTTTCCAAGGAAGGGGAATTTCAGTCTAGTCTATAGTCTAGTCTATAGTCTAGTCTATAGTCTAGTCTATAGTCTAGTCTATAGTCTAGTCTATAGTCTAGTCTATAGTCTAGTCTATAGTCTAGTCTATAGTCTAGTCTATAGTCTAGTCTATAGTCTAGTCTATAGTCTAGTCTATAGTCTAGTCTATAGTCTAGTCTATAGTCTAGTCTATAGTCTAGTCTATAGTCTAGTCTATAGTCTAGTCTATAGTCTAGTCTATAGTCTAGTCTATAGTCTAGTCTATAGTCTAGTCTATAGTCTAGTCTATAGTCTAGTCTATAGTCTAGTCTATAGTCTAGTCTATAGTCTAGTCTATAGTCTAGTCTATAGTCTAGTCTATAGTCTAGTCTATAGTCTAGTCTATAGTCTAGTCTATAGTCTAGTCTATAGTCTAGTCTATAGTCTAGTCTATAGTCTAGTCTATAGTCTAGTCTATAGTCTAGTCTATAGTCTAGTCTATAGTCTAGTCTATAGTCTAGTCTATAGTCTAGTCTATAGTCTAGTCTATAGTCTAGTCTATAGTCTAGTCTATAGTCTAGTCTATAGTCTAGTCTATAGTCTAGTCTAGTCTAGTCTAGTCTAGTCTAGTCTAGTCTAGTCTAGTCTAGTCTAGTCTAGTCTAGTCTAGTCTAGTCTAGTCTAGTCTAGTCTAGTCTATAGTCTAGTCTAGTCTATAGTCTAGTCTAGTCTAGTCTATAGTCTAGTCTAGTCTATAGTCTAGTCTAGTCTAGTCTATAGTCTAGTCTAGTCTATAGTCTAGTCTAGTCTAGTCTAGTCTAGTCTAGTCTAGTCTAGTCTAGTCTAGTCTAGTCTAGTCTAGTCTAGTCTAGTCTAGTCTAGTCTAGTCTAGTCTAGTCTAGTCTAGTCTAGTCTAGTCTAGTCTAGTCTAGTCTAGTCTAGTCTAGTCTAGTCTAGTCTAGTCTAGTCTAGTCTAGTCTAGTCTAGTCTAGTCTAGTCTAGTCTAGTCTAGTCTAGTCTAGTCTAGTCTAGTCTAGTCTAGTCTAGTCTAGTCTAGTCTAGTCTAGTCTAGTCTAGTCTAGTCTAGTCTAGTCTAGTCTATAGTCTAGTCTATAGTCTAGTCTAGTCTAGTCTAGTCTATAGTCTATAGTCTAGTCTATAGTCTAGTAGTCTATAGTCTAGTCTATAGTCTAGTCTATAGTCTAGTCTATAGTCTAGTCTATAGTCTAGTCTATAGTCTAGTCTATAGTCTAGTCTATAGTCTAGTCTATAGTCTAGTCTAGTCTAGTCTAGTCTAGTCTAGTCTAGTCTAGTCTAGTCTAGTCTAGTCTAGTCTAGTCTAGTCTAGTCTAGTCTAGTCTAGTCTAGTCTAGTCTAGTCTAGTCTAGTCTATAGTCTAGTCTATAGTCTAGTCTATAGTCTAGTCTATAGTCTAGTCTATAGTCTAGTCTATAGTCTAGTCTATAGTCTAGTCTATAGTCTAGTCTATAGTCTAGTCTATAGTCTAGTCTATAGTCTAGTCTATAGTCTAGTCTATAGTCTAGTCTATAGTCTAGTCTATAGTCTAGTCTATAGTCTAGTCTATAGTCTAGTCTATAGTCTAGTCTATAGTCTAGTCTATAGTCTAGTGTAGTCTAGTTCTAGTCTAGTCTATAGTCTAGTCTAGTCTATAGTCTAGTCTAGTCTAGTCTATAGTCTAGTCTAGTCTATAGTCTAGTCTAGTCTAGTCTAGTCTAGTCTAGTCTAGTCTAGTCTAGTCTAGTCTAGTCTAGTCTAGTCTAGTCTAGTCTAGTCTCGTCTAGTCTAGTCTAGTCTATAGTCTAGTCTAGTCTAGTCTAGTCTAGTCTAGTCTAGTCTAGTCTAGTCTAGTCTAGTCTATAGTCTAGTCTAGTCTAGTTAGTCTATAGTCTAGTCTATAGTCTAGTCTATAGTCTATAGTCTAGTCTAGTCTATAGTCTAGTCTATAGTCTAGTCTATAGTCTAGTCTAGTCTATAGTCTAGTCTATAGTCTAGTCTAGTCTAGTCTAGTCTAGTCTAATCTAGTCTAGTCTAGTCTAGTCTAGTCTAGTCTAGTCTAGTCTAGTCTAGTCTAGTCTAGTCTAGTCTAGTCTAGTCTAGTCTAGTCTAGTCTAGTCTAGTCTAGTCTATAGTCTAGTCTAGTCTGTAGTCTAGTCTATAGTCTAGTCTATAGTCTAGTCTATAGTCTAGTCTAGTCTAGTCTCTAGTCTATAGTCTAGTCTAGTCTAGTCTAGTCTAGTCTATAGTCTATAGTCTAGTCTAGTCTATAGTCTAGTCTAGTCTATAGTCTAGTCTAGTCTAGTCTAGTCTAGTCTAGTCTAGTCTAGTCTAGTCTAGTCTAGTCTAGTCTATAGTCTAGTCTAGTCTATAGTCTAGTCTAGTCTATAGTCTAGTCTAGTCTATAGTCTAGTCTAGTCTAGTCTATAGTCTAGTCTATAGTCTAGTCTAGTCTAGTCTATAGTCTAGTCTAGTCTAGTCTAGTCTAGTCTAGTCTAGTCTAGTCTAGTCTAGTCTAGTCTAGTCTAGTCTAGTCTAGTCTAGTCTAGTCTAGTCTAGTCTAGTCTAGTCTAGTCTAGTCTAGTCTATAGTCTAGTCTAGTCTATAGTCTAGTCTAGTCTCGTCTAGTCTAGTCTCGTCTAGTCTAGTCTAGTCTAGTCTAGTCTAGTCTAGTCTAGTCTAGTCTAGTCTAGTCTAGTCTATAGTCTAGTCTAGTCTATAGTCTAGTCTAGTATAGTCTACTCTAGTCTAGTCTAGTCTATAGTCTAGTCTAGTCTATAGTCTAGTTTATAGTCTAGTCTAGTCTAGTCTATAGTCTAGTCTAGTCTAGTCTAGTCTATAGTCTAGTCTAGTCTATAGTCTAGTCTAGTCTAGTCTAGTCTAGTCTAGTCTAGTCTAGTCTAGTCTAGTCTAGTCTAGTCTAGTCTAGTCTAGTCTAGTCTAGTCTAGTCTAGTCTAGTCTAGTCTAGTCTAGTCTAGTCTAGTCTAGTCTAGTCTAGTCTAGTCTATAGTCTAGTCTAGTCTAGTCTATAGTCTAGTCTAGTCTATAGTCTAGTCTATAGTCTAGTCTATAGTCTAGTCTAGTCTAGTCTAGTCTAGTCTAGTCTAGTCTAGTCTAGTCTAGTCTAGTCTAGTCTAGTCTAGTCTAGTCTAGTCTAGTCTAGTCTAGTCTAGTCTAGTCTAGTCTAGTCTAGTCTAGTCTATAGTCTAGTCTATAGTCTAGTCTAGTCTAGTCTATAGTCTATAGTCTAGTCTAGTCTAGTCTAGTCTAGTCTAGTCTAGTCTAGTCTAGTCTAGTCTAGTCTAGTCTAGTCTAGTCTAGTCTAGTCTAGTCTATAGTCTAGTCTAGTCTGGTCTAGTCTATAGTCTAGTTTAGTCTATAGTCTAGTCTATAGTCTAGTCTATAGTCTAGTCTATAGTCTAGTCTATAGTCTAGTCTATAGTCTAGTCTATAGTCTAGTCTATAGTCTAGTCTATAGTCTAGTCTATAGTCTAATCTATAGTCTAGTCTAGTCTAGTCTATAGTCTAGTCTAGTCTATAGTCTAGTCTTTAGTCTAGTCTACAGTCTAGTCTATAGTCTAGTCTATAGTCTAGTCTATAGTCTAGTCTATAGTCTAGTCTATGGTCTAGTCTAGTCTATAGTCTAGTCTATGGTCTAGTCTATAGTCCAGTCTATAGTCTAGTCTATAGTCTAGTCTATAGTGTAGTCTATAGTCTAGTCTATAGTCTAGTCTATAGTCTAGTCTATAGTCTAGTCTATAGTCTAGTCTATAGTCTAGTCTATAGTCTAGTCTATAGTCTAGTCTATAGTCTAGTCTATAGTCTAGTCTATAGTCTAGTCTAGTCTAGTCTAGTCTAGTCTAGTCTAGTCTAGTCTAGTCTAGTCTAGTCTAGTCTAGTCTAGTTTAGTCTAGTCTAGTCTAGTCTAGTCTAGTATAGTCTACTCTAGTCTAGTCTAGTCTAGTCTATAGTCTAGTCTAGTCTAGTCTATAGTCTAGTTTATAGTCTAGTCTAGTCTAGTCTAGTCTAGTCTAGTCTAGTCTAGTCTAGTCTATAGTCTAGTCTAGTCTAGTCTAGTCTAGTCTAGTCTAGTCTAGTCTAGTCTAGTCTAGTCTAGTCTAGTCTAGTCTAGTCTAGTCTAGTCTAGTCTAGTCTAGTCTAGTCTAGTCTAGTATAGTCTACTCTAGTCTAGTCTAGTCTATAGTCTAGTCTAGTCTAGTCTATAGTCTAGTTTATAGTCTAGTCTAGTCTAGTCTAGTCTAGTCTAGTCTAGTCTAGTCTATAGTCTAGTCTAGTCTAGTCTATAGTCTAGTCTAGTCTATAGTCTAGTCTAGTCTATAGTCTAGTTCTATAGTCTAGTCTAGTCTAGTCTAGTCTAGTCTAGTCTAGTCTAGTCTAGTCTAGTCTAGTCTAGTCTAGTCTAGTCTAGTCTAGTCTAGTCTAGTCTAGTCTAGTCTAGTCTAGTCTAGTCTAGTCTAGTCTATAGTCTAGTCTATAGTCTAGTCTATAGTCTAGTCTATAGTCTAGTCTATAGTCTATAGTCTATAGTCTAGTCTAGTCTAGTCTAGTCTAGTCTAGTCTAGTCTAGTCTAGTCTAGTCTAGTCTAGTCTAGTCTAGTCTAGTCTAGTCTAGTCTAGTCTAGTCTAGTCTAGTCTAGTCTGGTCTAGTCTATAGTCTAGTTTAGTCTATAGTCTAGTCTATAGTCTAGTCTATAGTCTAGTCTATAGTCTAGTCTATAGTCTAGTCTATAGTCTAGTCTATAGTCTAGTCTATAGTCTAGTCTATAGTCTAGTCTATAGTCTAGTCTATAGTCTAGTCTATAGTCTAGTCTATAGTCTAGTCTAGTCTAGTCTAGTCTAGTCTAGTCTAGTCTAGTCTAGTCTAGTCTAGTCTAGTCTAGTCTATAGTCTAGTCTAGTCTATAGTCTAGTCTTTAGTCTAGTCTACAGTCTAGTCTATAGTCTAGTCTATAGTCTAGTCTATAGTCTAGTCTATAGTCTAGTCTATGGTCTAGTCTATAGTCTAGTCTATAGTCTAGTCTATGGTCTAGTCTATAGTCCAGTCTATAGTCTAGTCTATAGTCTAGTCTATAGTGTAGTCTATAGTCTAGTCTATAGTCTAGTCTATAGTGTAGTCTATAGTCTAGTCTATAGTCTAGTCTATAGTCTAGTCTATAGTCTAGTCTATAGTCTAGTCTATAGTCTAGTCTATAGTCTAGTCTATAGTCTAGTCTATAGTCTAGTCTATAGTCTAGTCTATAGTCTAGTCTATAGTCTAGTCTATAGTCTAGTCTATAGTCTAGTCTATAGTCTAGTCTATAGTCTAGTCTATAGTCTAGTCTATAGTCTAGTCTATAGTCTAGTCTATAGTCTAGTCTATAGTCTAGTCTATAGTCTAGTCTATAGTCTAGTCTATAGTCTAGTCTATAGTCTAGTCTATAGTCTAGTCTATAGTCTAGTCTATAGTCTAGTCTATAGTCTAGTCTATAGTCTAGTCTATAGTCTAGTCTATAGTCTAGTCTATAGTCTAGTCTATAATCTAGTCTATAGTCTAGTCTATAGTCTAGTCTATAGTCTAGTCTATAGTCTAGCCTATAGTCTAGTCTATAGTCTAGCCTATAGTCTAGTCTAGTCTAGTCTATAGTCTAGTCTATAGTCTAGTCTGTAGACTAGTCTAGTCTATAGTCTAGTCTGGAGTTGTTTTGGTATTACCTAAGTGGATCATGTACTCCAATAATTTTTGCAAGGTAATAGTCATTGAGACTTTTATTTGTCGTTAACTATATATTTAAATGTAGTCTATTACAGTGTGGAAGCATCAGCGATAGCTGTGGCAGTACTATAAAATTGGTTAGAGTTTTAATGTCTTTTTTCCTTTTCCTTTTAAAACTTCCTTTATTTAGCATTGGAGTTTGGTTTGATTTGATAGTAACACGAATACACACACTTTAACACTTTTTGTAGATACAAAGTGTGTTTCGGTGTTAGTACTACAATGGTTGTATAGTCTCGGTAGTGATGACTTTGGTATTATTGGCGTTTTTTTACAATTTTTGCATTGGTTAACATTTTACGGAAATTACATTAAAATTTATTAGCACTTGTAGAGAGGAAAACAAACAGGACACGATTTGTTTTGGTTTTTGAAATGTAACGAGAAAACTACTAAATAAATAAATATAAAATACAAAAACAACAACGGATAGCTAAAAAATTTTTAAAATTGAATTCGAAATACTACGAGGTTTGTAGATGATGCTGTTATAGATTTAAAAATTTTTCTTTCTGAATAAATTGAAAAATTGAATAAGTTGAAAAAAATATAAATTTACACGAGAGCCTTAGCAACTGCACATGATAATATTGGAGTTCCTTTTAACCATATTTTATATGGTTATATATATCGTATATCTATTGTAACATACACATGAAGGTAATAATGTTCAATTCAAAATCGATTTTGAATTGTTGTTTTTGTTGTAACTGTTCGACTGTGACCGATTGTTCTTTCCTGGGGAAAAACTTTCGGTTGATACAGTTGCCGCTAAGTTGGCGGAGTAAGACTCCGATCGTTTTGGAGCGAGGATCTAATTGTCATGGATCTACGTCATTGAACTGTAGTATGTGATTCTTTAAAGCATGTTAACTTGAAGAATATTTTCTCATCTTGGTGTTATTGCAATCCGGGAAAATCGATGCTAACAGTATAAACTGGTGGGGTCAAATGTATTCTCGACCTTTCCTTGGAATTATTTGACTTGGGGTCGAACAAGAGCACCTATCTTATTTGGTACTACGGGAACCGGCAGCCCGCAGGATGTAATGGACTTTGTCTTGTTTCGGTTATTGGAGAGAACAATTCCGAGTGCACAGAGTCGCTGTGATTTAAGTACCAAATCGTAAGAAGAAAGAGAGAGACTGAATCGTGAGAAGAAATAACTGAGACTGCTGATGCCGAATCAGCGGAGACCATCCCATCTGATTGGTTGTTAACGGAAGTGAAGTAAACATATTTCCTCATTATTTAAGGAAATACGTTTACCCGTTTGCGAACCAATTTATTTCACGGACGTTTCGTTAATTGGGAACTAATTAGCATTTTTATTACACCAAAAGAACTTAAACCCTTGTGAATGGGAAGATAATTACGTAGTAGTTGAGAGCCTTCCTGCTGATACATATTTTGATTCTAAAATTTTATTCATAATGTGTGTATGCAGTCTGATCCCCCCAAAATCGGCTATGATCATTCTGGTCCTGTTCTTTTTCATCCACAGGGTGAGCTTTATCTAATCACTGACCATTACAACCACGCATATGTGATGTGGAAACAGCACCTAGAAACGTAATGAGTAGACCGCAAAACGAGTCCATCAAATCATCAAGCCCACAGTCACTTCTCTGTAGGTTATCTGATGTCTGGGAAACAGCACCGAACTTATCCCGAATTATAGACTTTACCGTGTATCAGTTTTTTAACCAACATTGTCGTCGCCCGAATTTGGATTTAAACCACAGCCACCACGTGTACCTCGGAGAGACCTCTCCAGTAACTGGTACAAGACAGAGTCCGAAACTATGACCTGTGGGCTAACTGTTCCTGTTGTACCAGAAAACTTAGAATCCAAGGTAGACTAAATTTTTTGAATTTTATACCTTATGTAAAAAATACGAATTCGGCCTTTGTCGAGATGATCCCTACATTGTATTGCATCAGTTTTGCTAGCTCATCATAATATTTCTCACAGGTTCCGGTTTCTGGATTTCTGAAAGAAGAAGAAGAAAAAATATAGCAATTAAACAGTAAAGAAATGGTTCACTAGACAAGGACTTCAGATTAAGTTCATACAATTACTTCCCTAAATATTTGTCCTATAAATATAGCATAAAATTAAACGATCAATACAATACCAGATGTTACAAATGAAATAAGAAATTTATATGCATATAAAAAAACGTCACCACCTTTTGATGAAGGGTAGCAAAAAAGAAAAAAAAAAATACAAGAAAAATAATTTTTAAGATTTCTAAAATCGTATCTGTTGGATAAAAACACTTGCAAATGTTTTTGGGAAATGCAACTGTTTATTACCATTTTCCGCTTTATGTGTTGAGGGCGTATTTTTTTCATTAAACCATATTCCGTACACAATCTGGGACATCCGTTTGTTTATGTTCGTTCCTTAGTTGGGTTGGTTGTTACTTTATTATTTCATTTTGTTGCAATGTCGTCTCTCACATCCTTAACAGCTATAAAGTGTTTCTCATTTTCCGTTATGTTTTTATTATTTATTTTTTTTTTGTGTGGCTTTGTCTACTTATTCTTCTTCATACATTAAATGACAATTGTTTTGTTAGTTTTCCCCAAAATTTGTCAAATATTCGTCCTTAAAGTTTATAATTCTCTGGGGGTGTTTGTTTGTATTTGTCTTCCTTTCATTGTATTTTTTTTATCATACTAACGGAAGTAAAACATTTTCTGTTCTGTTATCAGTTTACCACTATCAGTCGTTAAAAAAGTCATCCTATGCTCATTTTATTGTATTGAATTTTATTACGTACATCTTTTTCTGTTTAACCAAACACGAATTCAATATTTAAGCAAGGAAAAACTAAAGGACAGGGCAACAACTAAATGAAAAGTATGACTAAATTGGCATTTAAGGCTTTTCTAATGCAAATTTTATTGCTTTGAATTTGTAATCAATAACAGGCGAGAAAATCCCTTTCCCTTTTCATGGCTGGCAATAAAACACACAAATTGATGGGTGAAGAGTTTAAAAAATTTTCTTCTTTGAATTTTTATTGTCGAACTGTAAATATGCCCAGTGCTTTGCCTTGTTCTAAACTTAAAAATCTGCTCTACAACTTAATCACTTCTTCTCTGGTTTTATTTCATTTAAGTACTCATACGTATTTCTTCGTATGGCTGGGAACGTTAAAGACTTTTATGGCGTCTTTTTATGATACCAATGTATCTGTATCTTTGTGTTGATGTAAATAAATATGTAGATGTACTGATGCACATATGAAACACAACTGATGATGTTAAATTGCCAATTTTTATTACATTACAGCAAAAAAAAAAGGCAGACAGTTTCATTCGTTAGGACCACAAAGAAAACGAAAGATGTAGTTGTATATGTATGTAATAATCATATGGAAACTAAAATTTATTCACACATTTATCTTACGCATACATCGGTATGAATGTATGTATATGGGTGCCACAGACCTACATTATTAAATGAAAGTAAATTTAATGTTTTTTTCAATTTCAGTCAATCAGTTTGCCCATATGTATGTGTGTACGTTAACTACATTAGACTGCTCCAAAAAAAAATTAATTTGGGCAAGATAATAAAAACTGTTACAATTCTCCATCATATTTCCTAATCCCGTTTTTAGGCTGACATTTACACCATCGATATGTTCGATGTTGTGAAGACGTTCGAAGAAAGGAAAATACAAAAGAAGGCGCAATAATTGTCTTATCTTGAGAGTTATATAAATATCCCTCACGAATACTTTCAGGAAACTGAGATTCTGAACAACCGAGCGTATCCCCGGGTGGCGAAAAGGGGGATGTGATGAATAATCTGTCTTCTCCCAGCTACAGTTTCATTTAAGCTGAGGGAGGTCCACCATCTGGGAATCTTGTATTCCCCACGGACCAAAAAAGTAGAAAAAGACAAATATGAAAAATTCAAATAATAATAATATAAAAGTTGCGGTGCGGGGCGACATGTGTTGATCTGCTCGCGAGTTATTTGCCTCGTCATCCTGCAATCGTGAGCAAAAGAAAACTATGGAGGTGGGTACCTTAGCCTCCGTGGCGGACAATGCTTCAAGTGTCAGCATGGCCAAAACATAGGGGTGAGAGATAAGGATGTACTAGGAAATCAAAGTGAGTCAATCTCACGACACTCCAAAAGAAAAATCTGATTCTATCTCAATACCTAAGGCAAAGAGGAGTTGACCATCATCTAATATACTGTCCAAGCCAAGTCCTACCACACACAAAGGAACCTTAATTCAGAATCCTGCGAGTAAGTGAGGCAACGCCAAGCAAGGTAATCGGGAAACGAACTCGTCGGCGAAATGAACTCCGAAAACAAGGAAGCAGAAGAACAGTGGAAAAGGAAAAGAACCGACATCAAAATTGGGAAAGCTCCAATTCAAAGGGCTGTCATAACATACAGGGTCACTAAAATACTTAAGACGATGCCCAAAGTATCATTAGCCATTATTGGAAACGTTGAGGAGTCAGATTTTAAAAGCTAGCAGAAAATCACTTACTCGCAGCAGACAGAACTTTGGTGCTTTCTAAAATGTGGAAGGTTCCAAATAAAAGGTATGCTAGACCTGATAAGGACACCGCAGTGTGATCAATAGTACATACTGCATCAATAGCTATTACCCTGAGGAATCAAATCCAAAGAGCGAGGAGGTGATCACGAACTCGCTGGAAGACAGTTGAGTGGATGACCATGATTGAGATTATCCAAATAAACCTCCATCGGAGCGACACGACTTCCAATGCTCTGATGGCTAAAATAAACACAGGTAAGATAATATAGCTTCAATCCAGAAACCTTGGACGATTCGCAACAAGGTTTCTGAATTAAATCACGTCAATTTCCATCTTTTCAACCGCCAACGTCGGATCTGATGAAACTGGTTGAAGAGGCACAAAGAGGCCAAATACCACCATGTAGCTTGGGGTAGAACAAATGTCAATCACAGGGGGCAAGCCCTCATGGATTTCAATACTGAAGGCTTGATAACATTGAACTTGGGTAATAAAGCTTCTTTCTTCAATAGAATCAGAGAAGTATTAGATATAACTATATATTCAAAACAGCTTATATCAGAAATTCAGGATTGGAGAGTTTCGGATAAGCACTCCTTTTCAGACCATCGTAACTAATTGAACAATGTTCGGAACCTTACAAAAGAACCGTTTAGGACAGGACACTTTTCAATATCAAGATAATGAGGATATAGACGCCGAAGTAGAAAAGTTCACAAGTGTCCCGGTTGAATCGTTCGAGGACAGCTCCCTTCTACGAGAGCGGAAATCTGCAGGAGAAACCCTGGGTAACAGGCTACATCCAGAACCATGGGAAGACTCTTCGCAAACTATTTAACCGGGCACGTCGTAAAAAGACCGCAGTATACTGGGATGAGTATCGTAGTAAACTTGGTGAATATAAGAAAATCGACCGAAAAGCCAGACGAGACTCCTGGACACATTTCTGTAAACAGGTAGATAGCGTAAATGCCGTCTCGAAAATAAAAAATGCCTATCCAAAACTCATGTCCCACCGGAATCTATGATAGATGACAAGGGCAGGAGGCTAGAGGATATAGAGGGGACAATGAAACCCCTAATTACCTCTTATGTTAAAACCAAATATGATGGGAGTGATATTATTCCTCACGAACACTGATTGAAAAATTCTCAGGAGTTAAGTCCATGAAACTGAGTTTCTGTATTTCGGACGATAATACATTCAGTGAATACTAAATAAGGTATTTGTTTTTGCGAACAAACATTTGCCATGAAAAGGAGCGCATAACAGTCCCTATAGTGACCTAGGTGCATTCCTGATATAGATACATCCTCCTATCAACCTAATATTTACCAACAAACCAACAGGAGCCCAAAACAAGCCCGATAGTGACCTGGGTTTTTTATTAAAAGTGAATATGGCACTCTTACGTGTTTATAGGTAATGTTCTTTCAAATTCGCATTCCCGCTTAGAAACCGTGTTGGAAAGTAGCAAAACCTCCAACCTGCTCCTCTCTCAAAAATTATGGAAAACATAATTAACTACAACTAGGGAAGTCATTCGTACTGGTTGTTCTACTGGCGACCTAATAACATTTCTATATGAACAATGGTATCGATGGTGAAGTAAGATAGTTAAGTAATATTGTTTGAAGTTGGTAACGAATATCCCCTTTTTTGTTGTATCTCAATGCCCTTAAACACAATATTGTCTATTGACACAAGATTTATGAGTCACAAATGACTAGAGTCTCCACTTTTAACAAACCTATACATGGATGAAGTATACACCAATACATATTACAACCTTTTAATCTTGAGGTCCGATAGATGACTATTCTATCGAAGGAAACAATTAAGGCTGTCTGTGATGTTGAAAACGTTTCTCACCATATTAAATCTAATTCGTATTTATACTTCCTATAAATTGAACATAATTCCCACGTATGGCCTAGAACCGCAAGGTCTGTCCTTGACTTGTTGGACCGGATCCAAAGAAGAGCTTTGGCCTCATAGTAGATTGAACTATTAATAATTCTATTTATTCATTAGAATAACGATGTACAAACGATTGTTTAAAAGAGATCGTTAAGGGTATATGCTTACATATAGACCGTTTAGAGTGTTCAGTTTATTTGATGACAAAATTTTGGATCAGTCTAATATATATACATAGATACACATATTGATGTACAAATAATATTTGAAATATATATTTTTTTATTATAGAATATTAAACAAAATCATTGATTTCCTTTTTGCAGATGTATGCATGTGTGTGTGTATGTTAGTACGTATGTATGATTGTGTGAAATTTCATGTTGGAAATTATTTTTTACGACAATCTTTGTGTTTGTTTATATTTTTTAATGTTCTCTGATGATTTTTATTTCCTTTTTTTTGCTTTTTCATTTTTAATTTGATCCTTTGAGGCGTTATACATTTATATTTAACTAGCTATACCCAGTGTGTTTCGCTACTCCCATCGTAATGAAATAAAATAAAAATTATTGTAAATTTTCAGTCAGTCAATATACATTTAGGTCCCTTTTAATGGTTCTCATTAACTCCGAACTCCAAATGCTTAATATCATGTTTCTAGGATCATATTATAAAAAACACAAAAAGTACCAGTTAAAAAACGAAGAAGTACCAAAAAATAGTCCTTTGTGCCGGAGTTCCAAGTAACACTCCATTGGTATATTTAGTGTTACTAAATCTATCATTTTCTCCAAATTTATTAAAATTAGGTCAGTGAGTTTGTTTAAAATCAAATTTCCCCTTTTTCCCCCTTTTGGTACTTTTTTCTCTCTAGTGGGAGCCCATCATTAAGTATTCATTCACATGTACAAATCAGTACATAGGAAACAATGTTTTATAAAAAAAAGAATCAAAAATATGTACAATTTTCACCCCTTAAACGTCCGAATATCCAAAAAGTACTCAATTCGTATTTTTATTTTTTTGTCAAGTTATAAAGGAGTCAAAAATATTGTTTGAATTTTCGCTGGTTTAAATGATACATGGGGTGCCAAAAAAGTACCAAAATACAGTTTTTACCCGTTTATTCTCTAAAGGGACCGAATTTGAAAAAAGTACCAGACACCTGTCCGCTTATTTTTTAAATGAACGACGTTAAGCTTGTATCTTTTCTAGTATAGATACAAGCTTAACGTCGTTCGTCGTATTTTGTATCTTTTCTAGTTTAGGAGATATGAGGTTACCGAATTTACCCGTTTTTATCCCCTTCTACCCCCTAAACATTCGAATTTCCAAAAATCTTAGAGGCGGGAGACCAATAGTTTCCAAGACTTTTATGTTTTCACTCAATAAATCGATTTTTTTGTGAGAAATATAAGTGATCACAGATTTTTACTGTTTTGGATCTATCTCTTATAGTTTCCAAGATAAATGGACTTTTATGTTTTCAATCAATAAATCGATTTTTGGTTAGAAATATAAGTGATCACAGATTTTTACTGTTTTGCCTCTATCTCTTATAGTTTCCAAGATAAATGGACTTTTATGTTCTCAATCAATAAATCTATTTTTGGTTAGAAATATAAGTGATCACAGATTTTCACTGGTTTGGCTCTATCTTTTATAGTTTCCAAGATAAATGGACTTTTATGTTTTCACTCAATAAATCGATTGTTTGTGAGAAATATAAGTGATCATAGATTTTCACTGTTCTGGCTCTATCTCTTAGTTTCAAAGATAAATGAACTTTTATGTTTTCACTCGATAAATCGATTTTTTGTTAGAAATATAAATGATCACAGATTTTCAGTGTTTTGGCTCTATCTCTTATAGTTTCCAAGATAAATGGACTTTTATGTTTTCACTGAATAAACCGATTTTTTGTGAGAAATATAAGTGATCACAGGTTTTCACTGTTTTAACTCTATCTCTTATAGATTCCAAGATAAATGGACTTTTATATTTTCACTCAATAAATCAGATTATCACTGTTTTGGCTCTGTCTCTTATAGTTTCCAAGATTAATGGACTTTTATGTTTGAGAGAAATAATATTTTGTGAGAAATATAGGTGATCACAGATTTTCACTGTTTTGGCTCTATCTCTTATAGTTTCCAAGATAAATGGACTTTTATGTTTTCACTCAATAAATAGATTTTTTGTGAGAAATATAAGTGATCACAGATTTTTACTGTTTTGGCTCTATCTCTTATAGTTTCCAAGATAAATGGACTTTTATGTTTTCACTGAATAAATCGATTTTTGGTTAAAAATATAAGTGATCACAGATTTTCACTGTTTTGGCTCTATCTCTTATAGTTTCCAAGATAAATGGATTTTTATGTTTTCACTCAATAAGTCGATTTTTGGTTAAAAATATAAGTGATCACAGATTATCACTGTTTTGGCTCTATCTCTTATTGTTTCCAAGATAAATGACTTTTATGTTTTCACTCAATAAATCGATTTTTGGTTAAAAATATAAGTGATCACAGATTTTCACTGTTTTGGCTCTATCTCTTATAGTTTCCAAGATAAATGGACTTTTATGTTTTCACTCAATAAATCGATATTTTGTGAGAAATATAAGTGATCACAGGTTTTCACTGTTTTGGCTGTATCTCTTATAGTTTCCAAGATAAATGGACTTTTATGTTTTCACTCAATAAATCGATTTTTTGTGAGAAATATAAGTGATCACAGATTTTCACTGTTTTGGTTCTATCTCTTATAGTTTCCAAGATAAATGGACTTTTATGTTTTCACTCAATAAATAGATTTTTTGTGAGAAATATAAGTGATCACAGATTTTCACTGTTTTGGCTCTATCTCTTATAGTTTCCAAGATAAATGGACTTTTATGTTTTCACTCTTTGGCTTTGGCTTTATCTCTTATAGTTTCCAGGATAAATGGACTTTTATGTTTTCACTGAATAAATCGATTTTTTGTGAGAAATATAGGTGATCACAGATTCTCACTGTTTTGTCTCTATCTCTTATCCTTATTCCTCTTTCCCAAATAAATGGACTTTTATGTTTTCACTCAATAAATCGATTTTTTGTGAGAAGTATAAGTGATCACAGACTTTCACTGTTTTGGCTCTCTTATAGTTTCCCAGATAAATGGACTTTTATGTTTTCACTCAATAAATCGATTTTTGGTTAGAAATATAAGTGATCACAGATTTTCACTGTTTTGGCTATATCTCTTATAGTTTCCAAGATAAATGGACTTTTATGTTTTCACTCAATAAATCGATTTTTTGTGAGAAATATAAGTGGTCACAGATTTTCACTGTTTTGGCTTTATCTCTTATAGTTTCCAAGATAAATGGACTTTTATGTTTTCACTCGATAAATCGATTTTTTGTGAGAAATATAAGTGATCACAGATTTTCACTGTTTTGGCTCTATCTCTTATAGTTTCCAAGATAAATGGACTTTTATGTTTTCACTCTTTGGCTTTGGCTTTATCTCTTATAGTTTCCAGGATAAATGGACTTTTATGTTTTCACTGAATAAATCGATTTTTTGTGAGAAATATAGGTGATCACAGATTCTCACTGTTTTGTCTCTATCTCTTATAGTTTCCAAGATAAATGGACTTTTATTTTTTCACTCAATAAATCGGTTTTTTGTGAGAAATATAAGTGAACACATATTTTCACTGTTTTGGCTCTATCTCTTATAGTTTCCAAGATAAATGGACTTCTATGTTTTCACTTGATAAATCGATTTTTTGTGAGAAATATAAGTGATCACACATTTTTGGGAGGTGCCGCTCCCCCCATTGGTAGTCGCCAATTTATTACCCAAAATGTTTACACGGATGTTAAGGTTCTTCGTGCAAAATTTGAAGTTTCTAACCCTAATAATTTCCAAGAAAAATGAATTTTTGTATTTAATTTATGTGGGAGGTGCCACGCCCCCTAATGCTAGTCCGCCCACTTTTTGTTCTAAATAATCATATTGACACTAAAGTGGCTCCAACAACATTTGAGCACTCTAACTGTTATATTTTCTCAGATATACTAATTTTATGTTTTCTTAATATGTAAGGTGCCAAGTTGTTCCAGACATACAGGAAGACGCTGTGGAAATTTCAGGAAAATCGCTCCAACCTTTAGCAGTATATAAAGTCCAAACAAACATGCAAACACACATTCATTTTTATATATATAGATTAATTTTGCTATTCTTTTGTTCGTAAATTTAATGGTAGTTTCATATTTTATTGTATATTTCATCATTAAATTGTGATTTATAACAAAATTTTTATTGAAATCCAAATTTTATGAATGTTAAAATAATAAAAAGTAACTGCAAACATAACATTAAATAATATCTAATCTTAATTTATTTTATTTCACTATGAAAATCTATGGAATACAATTCTGATCTCATGCATTTATACATCGTTTTTTTTTTATGTGGTTAATTCTCATAGATATAAAGTAATAATAATTTTTGTTATGTTTTTTTATGTGTGAGTTGGAAATTTATTCAATCTGTTAAATATTAAGTTACAAAAGAACATTTTTGTTTAGTTTTATGTTAATAAGCAATGTTCTTAAAATTTATGAGTAAATTTATTGTTGTAGTAGTTAAATCTTTGCTTGATTCAATAACAAATATATTCAATATCTTACCTTCATTTATGATATTATTAGATATCTGTGCTCTAGGCCTAGTTAATGTTAATATTGAACCAAATTTTGAATAGTTAGTCTTTAGATCCGTAAATGCCTAAATCCCAAAAATAACCAGCTAAGTTAATAGCTGATATTGTACACCATTGCTATTACCCCTTGGCGGAAAAATAGTTGAAAAAAAAGGATTGTTGAATTTCTACTTTAGGCGATTTTTAATTTAACGTCTAGACTGTGTTAAAAACAATATGAAAAATGAACAACAGAACTAAAGTAAGTACATGCAAACAGACAAACAAATATGTAGTTATAAATTGAAACAAGAAGTGTACAGAAAAAAAAAATCCAGCAGATACTTTTAATTTTCGAGTGGACAGCAAAATAATCGATTTTCAAGTTTTGTTTTATTTTGGCACTTCAGTCTATTAAAAAAATGGCAAAAAAAACATAAAGACAAAAATAACGAAAATAAAAAGTCAGCAAATGATAAAAAAATTTGTTCAAATACTCGTATTCCTATCACTTCCATTTAAGTAGAGAAATACACATACAAATGGCATGTGTTTGTTAGTATTATGTATCTGTGTGCATTGAATTATTCAAGTGTTAAACAAATAAATGACAAACAATGTTGTGTTGATGTCGAGGGTGATGATGATGCTCTGAAGCAAGTAATTGATACGTTTTCATCAGAAATTTTACCTTATTTTAGTAAATGTGACAATTTTGTTTTGCTTTTATTTTAGTAATTAAGGATGTTATAAAACTAAAAGGAACAAGTATGGGTGTTATATTCGAATAAGCTGCCTCCAGACTCAACGCCCTTATTGCTACAAGCTTGATCTATATATATATATGAGTTCCTCTAACTCCCACTGGAGCATAGGGCGCCAATAACAGCCGACCGCCAACAGACCCGATTATTTGGTTGGTTGTTCATTTCGGATTTCGTGGAACGTCACCATGTGTTACATTGTCTACCAGCTTGCCGACCTGACTGGTGAAATGGGTTCCATCTTAGTACATGCTTGACCACGTTGTCATCATCCCTACGTATAGTATGTCCAATCCACTGCCACTTGCCTTCACGTATGACTGTAGCTATGGGTTTTTTGCCAGTTTGTGATAGTAGCTCTGAGTTTGAGATGGTTTTAGGCCAGAATATGCAGAGTATTCTTCTGAGGCAACGGTTCACAAAAGTTTGTAGTCGGTGGGTCATGCTACCACTCACTTTCCAGGTTGTACATCCATAGAGAAGTATTGACTTGATGTTTGCTTCAAAAATTCGTAATTTAGTGCGAATGCTGATCTTGTTACTTTGCCATATTGGGGACAATATACAAAAGGATGCTCTTATTTATCCCTTTATCAACATCCAAATCGGAACCGGCATCATTATCTAGCTCGCAGCCCTGTTATTCTCCTTCTATATAATGCTGACCATATATAGTCCCTATTAATACTGTCAAATGCCTTCTCGAAATCAATAAAAAGTAGATGAAGCTCGGAGTTAAATTCCACACACTGCTCAATAACTATACGTAAGGTATTAGTGTGATCCGCAGACGAATATCCACTGCGAAAGCCCGCATGATCATGAAAACTGTGCGTGTATCGCCAGAGGCAGCGGCTCTTTCCGCAAGGATATCAATGTGTCTCCTTCTATCCCTACGTACTGCGCCCTGCACTGTTCTGTGGAGTGTCCGATATTCATTCTCCAGATTAAATTTCTCCTCCGCGTGGGTGGCGTAGTATCTCACCTTAACTTCCTTCCGCACAGTTATTTTACTCCAAGTATCCATCCACACTTCTCTTCCTTTAGAGGCTGGTCCAATGGTCTGATCCGCATATAATCTTATTGTGTCCCTAATAATTTCCCACTTAGCGTCGATAGAGGAAAATGCATAGTCTTTATCATAATCCCGATATTGGCTAATGTCAGCACGCCTCTTGCTACGAACATCAAGAAGGAATTTCCTAAAACGGCCTGGTGCCTATCCGGTGATAGCCAAGTTGCCTTTTGACAATCCTTATGTTGAAAGAGAATTCCACCGATTACAAGTTTCCTAGCCCCTTCTGTGGGCTACTGATGATGTTAAAAACTGATATGTTTCTAACCTTAGATACGAAACGCGCAAGGATAAGTCTGTCCGACACTGGTCTCCTGGCTGGATCTAGTAGTACATTAATACACACTCCCAGCAGTTCGACAAAGAGTCAATTTGTTTGCTCTAATTCGTCGTTACAGATGTACTCTTTGTAAACGAGGGTGAAGATAATCGTTACTTTAGTATCCAGTTTGTAAGCGAGGGAATGTACACTTATAAAACAAACTTAAGCTGTTTGTGTATCTCTTCGTAATCTATATTGTGACGGTTGACTTCCTCCTATTACAAGTTGTAGGTTAAATAGGTAGATCAGGACTGTCCGACCAAACTGCTGGCCTATGATACATTTACCGAATGGTGTGGTCTTCTCAAAAAACTCTATTTGACCGTTTGTGCGTAGTAAACTGCCAAGTTAAAAAGTCAACCTTTGTATTCGGCTATTCCGAATCTAATATATCCACCATTAAAATATGCTTTTTCTATTTATCAAACCAGCCCCGACCATAACGAAAATTGGCAGTATCATTTATCATATCAAACGACTTACATTGAAAAGTAAAAATCCAAAAATTATTTTACACAATAGCATTTTAAGTCATAATTTTAACACGGGGATGACTTTGGAGGCAAGTACTTTCCACGCTCGCTTACAAATATGGAGTGAGGTAAGTACTTACAAAAATAGCCTGAAAATAGGGTGTCAAGTAAGTAGTTTTGTTGCTGAGAAAAAAATTGTCAACGAGGATACTTCCACTGCTTATGTTATTAGTTTTCTCAAAAAAATTTACTATTTATATGTTATTACTAGACACTAAGTAATGCAGAAGATATATAGTAGTCATTGAAAAGTAGGTTGTTAATTAAGTACAAGTCATTACCAAGTTTTTGCTGTGGAACTTGCGATACAAGAACATTTAACTTAAAAATGAGGTCCAGAGTCCTAAATGGGTGTATGGTTGTATGTGGGCTACAGAGGTAAAATACTGAACCGTTTTCTACTATTTTGAATATGTTTCGTACTTGGGTTTAGAAAAGAGCAAATGCCAAATTATCTTGAAAATTGTGACTTGTATGTATATGCATACAAAGTTTACATGGATGTACAAACGAACAGACGACATACATAGCTTAATTGACTCCGAAAGTGCCTCTGATTCGAATGGTATACTTTAAAGAGGGTGTAGGACCAATAAATAGTGGTGTATTGTCTTCTTATCTCTGACCATTGCTGCCTCGTTGCTTAACTTCCGAGATGTAAAACATCACTTCGTTATCCATCACACAGATGGGACCGGTAGACCCAAGTACGAATCTGTCAAATAAGCCGAGACCTTGTTCTTAATCACAGTGGCACACTGTGTTAAATCTGGTATGAACAGCACAAGGAAGGAAAATTCAATAGTATCACTTGTATAAGATACCTTTCATACATCATCATTACATCTGTCTTTTAACCGCCACTTACTCTTCCCGTGAATTTGGGTTTAAACCGCAGCCACTACGTGGATCCCGAAGGAACCTCAACCATCTGACCAGCTAGGATATAGTCCTGCGGGCAACTGGCCACCCGTAGCACCAGATTATGTGGTTATCTGGTTAGACCTCATGTCAAATCATACCTAGAACTTGCCGAGCTGAAAAGAGGTAACACCTCTTTTCCCCCGGATTCCAATACACCAAGATGTGGATCTATCATCAAGGAAACATGCCCGGGGGGCAGATGAGGAGTATATTGCTTTTGTCAATACGAAATATTTGTTTATGACCCATAATGAAATATATACTCTGGGTCCTTATTACATTCTAAGACTATCTAGCCATATCCGTCTGTCTGTATTTTGAAAACGCGTTAGAGTCCAATCGGAATGAGCTAAAAAGCTCAATTATTTTTGATTGATTCAGTTTGGTATTGAAAATGGCTAATATCCACGATTTCACCTAGACTCCATATCAGAGCCTAATCCGGAAATTTCTTTAACACCTATAACCCAGGCTTGAAAAACCATGTAAGCAATGAAATTCCGCATAAGAAAATTTAGTCCATAATATACCCTACAGAGTCCCCCTAAGAAAATTACTTAAACGTACGCAACTGGCTTAATACAATGAGTATAGTGATTAAATTCGACATGAACGAGTTTTATAGGAACTAAAGTCACTCTGTAAAATTTTATGAGGATTTGTCTCTATGTGACCATACCCCATATAAGGTCCCTTTTAGAAAAAGCAACAAAATTCAACATAAACTAGTTTTATATGAACTATAACATTTATCTTTCAAATTTAATGAGGATCAGCCTATAATTGACCCCACTCCATATATAAAATCCCCCTCAGAAATTGACTTTGACGCTCATAACTTGCTTTGAATTTCATATCAAGCTACGAAATTAGACATAAACAAGTCTTATAGGTATTTAATGTCAAATTTAATGATGATCCGCCTATAACTGACCCTACCCCCTAAAAAGTTCCCGTCATTAAATGACTTTAACGATCATAGAGCCTAGCTTTAAAATACTAGTACTATATAACGAAGAACTAGTTTTATGGGAACTGAAATCTTTCTCTCAAATTTTATGGGGATCCTTATGATTCCAACACTACAGATACTGTAAGCAAATTTGCCGGCTATAGATACACTTTTCTTGTTACTATGTAATTTGATACACAAAACGATAAGTGTCTTTGAAATAACTATAAATTTCATTAATAAAACAACTTATTTTTATCGAAATTTAATATTTTTAATTGTTTCTAACGAATAATTCGAAAGTAAAACAGAAATCACTTAACTATAGTAAATTTCACTTATTTAAGTGGTTTGCAAATTACTAATTAAATACTTAATGAAAATTGAAATAAAATTATCTTTAAAATTAACATTTGATAAGAATTACAAAGTATTTCCAATTAAATTAATGCTTCAAAATTTATTACTATAAAAATTGCAAAATTGTTCGTTATTGGAACAGTCGTAAAACTTCCATACTCAGCATTATATTTGAAAAAAAATATAAAAATCATGGTTAAAGGTAAGAATAATTTGATAAAAAGTATAAAATTTTAAATATTTTAATTTATTTTTTTAGTTTTAGCTGTAGTGACATTATTGGCGATAAGCATTAGCTGCGTTTTGAGTTTGGATGTTTGCGAACATCAGATTGATGGCGCAAGAATACTTTATCCAACTGATTGTTCTAAATATGTTGTATGTAGATTTGGTAAAACTTATGCTATAGAAAAATGTGCCCGCGGAAAGCATTTTAATCGATTGACTTCGCAATGTGATGAAGCAACCAAGGCTGCTTGTGAGGTTGCTGTGGTTAGGAGTTATAGTCTTGATAGCGTTGATTGTGACAGTTGTCGTACAGCATGTGGATGTTTGACAGAATCTGACTGTCCAGCAACACCAGCTCCAGCTACTCCTGCACCAGCAACACCAGCTCCAGCTACTCCTGCACCAGCAACACCAGCTCCAGCTACTCCAGCACCAGCCACTCCAGCACCTGCCACTCCTGCACCGGCAACACCAGCTCCAGCTACTCCAGCACCGGCAACACCAGCTCCAGCCACTCCAGCTCCGGCAACACCAGCTCCAGCCACTCCAGCACCAGATACTCCAGCACCAGCAACTCCTGCACCAGCTACTCCAGCACCACCTTCTAACTCACCTTGTTCCAATAACTTGACAATCTGTGTAGGACAACCCGATAATAGTTCTGTTTATGTGAACCAAACTTGCAGTCAATATGCAGTTTGCATTTCACAATGTGCCATTGTCTTGTCCTGTCCAAACAATCTGCTATACGATATTGCAACTAACTCCTGTAACTATCCACAAAATGTAAATTGTCCCTATCCTCATCCTGCACCAAGTGGTCCTTCGGCTGGACCATCAGGTACCACATGTGAACAGCATGGTAAATGCGAAAATCAACCGGATGGCACACAATTCGCTGATGATGCTTCAAATGGTTATATTGTCTGTCAATGTGAATGCGAAATAATTCGGCCTTGTCCAGCTACTTTGGTCTACAATGAAAAACTTAAAGTTTGCGATTATCCATCGGAAAATTAAAAATTAATGAAATATCATTGTAAAACTTTTAAAAATAAGTTTTATAGTGGGACCGTCTATATTTGAAAAGTGCTAACCTAATAAAGTGTAGTTTTCGGGAAAGCAAAAACCTGTTTAATTCGCGAAATAGTGATGAATTTACTAATTCCTATTTATCATTTTCGAACGTGTTAGTTGGTTAGGCCTAAAAATTTATTGGGCCTTGTTACCTAAGTTTATATCTTCCATTTCAGGCCATAAAAAATCCTCAATTGTGGCCTTCTTGGTGTCGAAATGGCATTTACAGGAATTGTGTACTATCGGTCACAGAGTTGCCCCAAAGAAAACCAATCTGATGCGTTCAGATTGATAGAAGATAGATAGATAGATAGATAGATAGATAGATAGATAGATAGATAGATAGATAGATATAGATAGATAGATAGATAGATAGATATAGATAGATAGATAGATAGATAGATAGATAGATAGATAGATATAGATAGATAGATAGATAGATAGATAGATAGATAGATAGATAGATAGATAGATAGAGATATATAGATAGATAGATAGATAGATAGATAGATAGATAGATAGATAGATAGATAGATAGATAGATAGATAGATAGATAGATAGATAGATAGATAGATAGA